TAACATCATGATTTAGGCTAAGTAAAAAACTAATATCATCTTTTTCTTTCAGATCTCTATAAAAATGGACTCCAAAGAGCTAACTTTGTACCATTCATAGCAGTCTTGAAGGTAAAAACAAATCTTTTATTTGTGTTTACTAAGATCATACTTATTGATAATCAAGGGCTTTAGTAGGATTACCTTGGTCTTGGCATTCAAGGAGAATTTATTTTGGCATTTAGATAGTAATAGTCAGGGGCCGGGCACAGTGGCTCATGCCTGTAATCCCAGCACTTTGGGAGGCCAAGGTGGGCGGATCACAAGATCAGGAGTTCAAGACCAGCCGGACCAACATGGTGAAACCCCATCTCTACTAAAGATACAAAAATTAGCTGGGTGTGGTGGCATGCACCTGTAATCCCAGCTACTGGGGAGGCTGAGGCAGGAGAATCATTTAAACCCTAGAGGCGGAGGTTGCAGTGAGTCAAGATCATACCACTGCGCTTCAGCCTCGGTGACAGGGCAAGACTCCGTCTCAAAAAAAAAAAAAGAGACTAGCCAGGACAACACGGCAAAACCTCTTCTCTAGATAGTAATAGTCAAAGACACTAAAGGAGAAAGGAATCTTTTGATATAGTATTCATCCATGCGTACACTGAAAAAATTACAAAATATAGTCTAAATTATTCTCTAACTGAAACATTGAATAGTTTGCATTTTATAAATTTTAATTTGAGGTTTGCTCATAAATATTATAGTGGAATGTTTAAACTTATACGTTTATTTCTGAAAAAAATGTTTAATGTTCCCTGTTTCCTTCAGGTTAATGGCCATTATTAACATGTTTTCCCAGCTATTAAAGTTGCTATTCTAGAATAGCATTATTACAAAAATATTCTAATATATTTAAATGTGATTGCCATCAAGTTATGAAATTATGTCAAGTTGAGGCACATAAATAGTTTAAATATTTGTGTGTATCAGCACTGCATAGAGTTTAAAATAGTCTTCATTAAAATATGATTAAGAATAAAATAGCCTCCTTTTTTACTATTAATTTTAAGTAATATTTTACATGATTATTTAATGATTTCACATTCTGCCAATATTTGTTGAGAACCTACTATGTACCATGTGTGGCGTTAGGCATAATGGATAATAGAATTATGAACTAAGCTGTTTTTCTGGCACATTATTTATAATCTAGTTGATGACGTAACATATATACAAAAAAGCAAAATTTGCCAAAATATAATTCCCATAATTTTAGATAAATACTTTTTCCCCATGCACATCAACGTATCTGAAGAAAGGATAAAGTATTTTTTAAAAATTGAAAACTTAAAAATTCTTACCCAAGAAGGGTTAAAATATTTTATCTTCAGACATTCTAAAGGCATAATCAGACAATCTTTTTGACGTGTACTTTGGTTGGAATTATTGTTGGTGCCAAACTTTATTCCCTATGCTATACTTAGGAGAACTCAGACATCTGTTTCCTTGACCAATTTTAGGTTCCTAAGGATTTTAATTTCTCGGAGATATTTATAGATGTAGGAAAAGTACTTTTGGAAGATTTATGCTGTTAGTAATTTTTTCCCTTTATATTCATGCTTTGCATTTAGGGAGAACATAAACTTGCAATGTTTTCTCCATGCTAGGAATCCAAAGTAATATGGTATACACAGATACCAAAATATAAACAGGAAGCTAGGAAAAACAGGTGCTAAAAATAGTGTCTTCATATAGCATAAAATTCACAAAATACAAAAAGAGAAGTCTCAGAAAGAAACAAGTTAAGAGGTTCTGAGGGAACAACTTTGTAGCTGTACTTTTTTTTCCTCCAAATATTTTGTTGTTGTTTTATTTGGCCAGTAATTTGTCATACTTCAATATATAATAGCAGTATTAATAGGCAAAATGAATAGTATACAATTTGAAATTGAACATGAACTGAGATATATAATATACAATTTAAAGTTGAACATGGACTGAACTTCCCAGGAAACTAAATATCAGATTAGATGAGAAAAGGTCTAAAATGTCTAATTTGTTCAAGAGACTTTTCATATATAACAAAACATCAATGAAATGAAAACTAGAGCTGGTTTCTCTGAAGCTTTTCTGTTTGGGCATATAAAGTTTCTTTTGTAAGGAAGGGTAGTTTAATATTAACTTAAGTGACATTTTGCCTCTTCACAGCTGCTAGTGTTACTTCTTCTTTCTGGCCCAGCTGAGAGAAAGGTGTAGCAGAAGTCAATCTTAAACAAATTGAGAATATTAGTTTCATGAAAAGAAATTATTATAAACAAGATAGAAATTTGTTGAGGAAAAAGTACATTGTAAAATTCATTTTTTAAAATGTTATTCTCTATAAACCAAATAGTTACAAGTTCATAATTCACCACAAAAGCTTGTGGTTTGTTGCTTGGGATATTGAAAGATAACAAAAACTAAACTACGCTCTTAGTAAAGCCTGCTTTATGGCCCAACATGTGGACAATTTTTGTAAATATTTTCTTTAAAATATTTCTTCAAAGTAGTGAGTACTCTTCAGTTGTTGTGTGTTATTGTGTAGGTTTGTTAATTATGCTGTTCAAATCTTTATTCTCATATTTTTTTCCTATCAATTACTGAGAGACTTATGGGAAACATCTCACTATAATTGTGAATTTGTCTATTTTTCTTGTAATTCTGTCATTTGCCTTACATATTTGGAGGCTATGTTATAAGTTGCATATAGATTTATAATAATTATTTTATTTATTTATTTGCTTATTTATTTTGAGACAGAATCTTGCTCTGTCACCCAGGCTAGAGTGCAGTGGTACAATATTGGCTCACTGCAACATCTGCCTCCCAGGTTCAAACGATTTTCCTGCCTTAGCCTCCTGAAAAGCTGGGACTACAAGTGCATGCCACCACACCAGACTAATTTTTGTATTTTTAGTAGAGATGGGGTTTCAGCATGTTTGCCAGGCTGGTCTCAAACTCCTGACCTCAAGGGATCTGCCTGCCTTGGCCTCCCAAAGTGCTGGGAGTACAGGTGTTAGCCACCACACCTGGCCAGATTTACAATAGTTAAATACTGCTTGTGAATGGAACTTTTAAATATTATTTAGTAGCATTGCCCCTTCTTTTCAGGTATATTTATAACCATCTCTTGAAACATTGTTATCATGAGTGCTTTAAAATCTTTATCAGATAATTCTAACGTCTTTTTCATCTTGATGTTGCCATTTCTTTACATTCAGTTTGAGATCTTCCTGATTTTTTGTATAAGTGATTTCCAGTGGAAACTGACATTTTCATAATTTGTCATTAGACTTTGAATCTTAATGTTTTAACCAAACTTTTTATTGTGGCAAAATATACATAACAAAAATTACTATTTTAATGATTTAGTTATTTACATTTTGAGACAGGGTCTCACTTTGTTGCCCAGGCTGGAGTGCCATGGCACTATCATAGCTTACTACAGCCTCGACCTCCCCAGCCTCAGGTGATCCTCCTGCCCCAGCCTCCTGAGTAGCTGGGACTGCAGGCGTATTCCACCATGCCCAGCTAATTTTTTTATTTTTTGTAGAGACAGGGATTCACTATGTTTCCCAGGCTGGTCTCGAACTCCTGGGCTCAAGTGATTTGCCTGCCTCCACCTCCCAAAGTGTTGGGATTAAAGGCAAGAGTCACCACACCTGGCCTATTTTAATGATTTCTAAGTGTGCAGTTCAGTGGCATTAAGTACATTCACATTGTTTTACAAGCACCACCATGATTCATCTCCAGAATTTTTCATCTTATCAAACTGAAACTCTATACTCACTAAATAATAACCACCAGTTGTCCCCCTTTCCCAACGCTACTTACCACCGTTCTGCTTTCTGCCTCTGTGAATTTGTCTTTTCTAGATACTTCATGTAAGTGGAATTACCTAATATTTGTCTTTTTATTTCTGGCTTATTTCACTTAGCACAGTGTCTCCAAGGTTTATGCATGTTGTAACATGTGTCAGAATTCTTATCCTTTTTATGGCATAATAATATTCCATTGTAAGGATATGCTACATTTTGTTTATCCATTCACCTGTCAATGGATATTTGGGTTGTTTCTACCTTTCAGCTATTATGAATATTGCTGCTTCGAACATTTGTGTACAAATATCTGTTTGAGTCCCTGCTTTCAATTCTTTTGTGTACATACTCAGAACTGAAATTGCTAGATCTTGTGGTAATTATATGTTTAACTTCTTGAGGAACTGCCATACTGTTTTCCATAGCGGCTGTACCATATTACGTTCCCATCAGCAATACACAAGCATTCCAATTTCTCTGCATTTTCCCCAACATTTTCTTTTTCCTTTTTTTTTTTTTTTTTTTGGTAATAGCCATCCCAGTGGGTGTGAAGTGGTATCTCATTGTGGTTTTGATTTGCTTTTCCCAAATGATTAATGATATTGAGTATCTTTTCATATGCTTATTTTATTGATTGACTGATTGATTGATTGAAATAGAGTCTTGCTCTGTCACTCAGGCTGGAGTGCAGTGGCATGATCTTGGCTCGCTGCAACATCTGCCTCCTAGGTTCAAGTGATTCTCATTCCTCAGCCTCCCGAGTAGCTGGGATTACAGGCATGTGTACCCACCATGCCCACCTACTTTTTGTATTTTTGGTAGAGATGGGGTTTCACCATGTTGGCCAGGCTGGTCTTGAACTCCTGACCTCAGGTGATCCGCCCACCTCAGCCTCCCAAAATGCTAAGATTACAGGTGTGAGCCACTGCGACTGGCCTTATCTTCTCTTTTTTCAGATTGGGCAACATCTCATTCTATAAAATAGATTGTTACTCTGTTTCTCTTTGTGGATCTTATTTGAACTTTCTGTTTTAGTTAGCTCTTTTTAGACATTATTCTTCAAGAGAAGGGGAGGCACTGCTTCCTCCAGATATAGCTAGAAATCCAGGTTCCCTATTCAGCCTCCATTGACACCTGAGCTGTGGTTTGGGGTGTGCTCCTTGTTACCTGTTACTGCTGGAAAGAGGGTTCTGACTCCCGGTGATCTCCACTGATATCATTGTGGGAGGAGCATGCTCATACTGGTTGGCTGGGATGAAAGTTCCAGTTCCTACCTGGCATTCTGTGACATCACCCTGGCAGTGGTGTTAGGATTCCTCGTGACAGCCTTGTGAGGGTGGAATTCTAGGCTCCCCTTAGCCTTTGCTGGCATGGTTGGGGAGGTGGAGCCACAGTTTTTCCCCGTGGTATTTGCTTTAGTAGAACAGTTATTGTCTAAAAGTTTTATCTTTTATTAAGTTGCCCTTTTCCTGCTTCTTTGGCTAAAGAGAACAGACTTTTATGGGGGCCTCATTTGTATGTTTCCATCAGCATTTCTGGGTTGCTGGCTTCTTCAACTCTAAGTCTGGGATATATGAGTCAAAGATAAACCTGGTGGCTCACACTTGTAATTCCAGTGCTTTGGCAGGCCAACATGGGAGAATTGCTTGAGGCCAAGAGTTTGAGACCAGCCTAAGCAACGTAGTGAGTACCCATCTTTACAAAATTTTTTTTTAAAAAAATTAGCCAGGCAGTGTGATGTGTACCTGTCCTCCAAGCAACTTGGGACGCTGAGGCAGGAGGCTCACACGAGGCCAGGAGGTGGAGGCTGCAGTGAGCCATGATTGTGTCACTGTACTCCAGCCTGGGGAACAAAGCAATACCCTGTCTCTTAAAAAAAAAAAAAAAAATTTCCCACAGGAGGGAACCTCACCATCCTGTTGTTCTTCAGGTCTTGAATAGTTCTAGCTGTTCTTCCTTCTTTCTACTTTTCAGGTAGAGATGGGGTTTCACCATGTTGAACATCAGGGGTCTCCTGATGTTTGCTTTATATATAATTTCCAGAGGTTTTAAATTGTATGTATGAGGAGGGATAGGGAAAAGTACATCTCCATCTTCCCAGAAGCAGAAGTCAGCTTATTTAAAGTCCTTGTCTGCCAATTCCATCATTTCTGGTTTTGTTTCTATGGTTTGATTTTTTTTCCCGCTGGTTGTGAGTCCTATTTTCCTGCTTCTTTGCAAGTAAAGTAAGTTATGATTGGATGCTGCACGTAGTGATTATTACATTGAGTCTCTGTTACTTCCTTTAAGGGTGTCAAATTTTATTTTGGCAAGTGGTTAAGTTTCTTGCAGATCAGGTTGATCTTTTTGAGGCTTCTTTTTTTTCCCCCCGTGCCGGAGTCTCACTCTGTTGCCCAGGCTGGAGTGCAGTGGCGTGAGGCTTATTTTTAAGTTTTGATAGGGTGAATGTAGATTAGCCATTATTCCAGGTCTGTTTTATCCCTTCTAGGTGTTAGGTTTTAGGACCTTTCTAAGCTCTTTACTGAATCCCTGTGGTGTTCATTGAGGTGTTTCAGCTTTGACTATTCAGAATGCTTATATCTCCCAGATTATGTGTATTATTCTTTGCCCAACTCTGCATATGCAATTTGTTATTCAGCCAAAGATTACATTCCCTGTGCAGATATCCAGAGCTTTTCTTCTGCATAGCATTTTCCTGTGATGAACTCTACTGTGCAAATTCCAACTGTTTCAGCATCCCAAAACTCTGAGAACTGTCTCTTAAACTCATTTAGATTGTTCTATTGCAGTCTAGAAATTGCCTCTAGATAGAAAGCCAGGGAATATGGCCAGCTTGCTTGCCTGATTTTTTCCCCTCATATCTCAGGGATTGCTGTCTTTTGCTACCTGTTACATAATGTCTGGTATCAGCTGTTTCACACGTTTTGTCCAGTGTTTTAGTGATTTATTGCAGAAGGGCAAAATCCAGTTCCAATTACTCTGCCTTGGCTGAAAGCATAAGTCTCTTTCTTAGTTTTTAGTTATAAAGGAAAAGAAGGTCAAGGTTTGTCTTCTTTCTTTCTTTCTTTTTTTTTTTTTTTTTGGTAATTTAGGAACTTAGAGCCATGTTTTATCATAGAAACAAAAAAATAAATAGGATAACAATAAAAAGACAGTTGTGGGCACAGGAATTTTGTTTCAGCTTTCTCTCACACATTTAGAGGAACAGTTAAGTAAAAGATAATGCAGTCACATGAGGGGATATAACAGTTATATGGAATGTTTTTCAAAAGCTTTCGATAATGTAGAATAATGCTTATAGATAATGTGAGTGGAAAAGTATGATGCAAGGGTACACCTATGCCTGTCTCAACTGTGGAAATAATACACATGCATGAAAAAATACTGGAAAGAAATATCCCAAAATGTTAATAGAATCTATTTCTGGATATTAAGATTATGAGTCATTTAAATTTTCTCTTTTAGACTTTTCTAAAGTTTCTGGAATGATCTTGTATTATTTTTATAATGAAAACCATTTTCAAACAGGTGAGTTTTGCTCGCTCCTCTTTGGAAATCAGCAGACCTGACTAGGAGAACTCATAGTCAAAGTTGAGAAACCAGCAAAAGGCAAAATGGATTGAACATGGGTCTTATCTGTAGAGACCATTATTATAAAAATAAATGGGATGGCAGGCACAGGGAGGAAGGAGCAGGAGCAGAGGGAGAGGCAGAGATGACCTAACAAGTAAAAGCACATGATAGATATATTTTGGAGGAAGAACTACCTCAGGAAATGGGATAATTTTTCAGGTAAAATTTTCTATATTCTAAGAGAAATTAAAGTAGTAATGGTACTGATGACATAAGAGATTAGACATGAAATAATTATAAGATTGGATGATAAGTGAGCTGGCAGAGCAGCTGTCAAATAAACTGAGAGCAGACCATTAAGTAAAGGAAAAGCATCTTAGAAAAAGCAAATGGTAGAATCAACACTGCTGAAAATAAAATCAATGATAAAGAGACCAAACTTATGAAAGATCATATAAAATGAAGCTCGAATAGTCAGAGATGAAAACTACTGCAGAAAAAAAAATGCTGGATGTGGAAAGCAGACAGCAGAGATCATACATTCACATAACTCATATTTTTAAAAAAGAGAACTCAAAGACAAATCAGAAGAAAACTTTCATGAAAGAAAGTTAGGTTGAAAGTCTAGATTCAAAGTATTCATTGTATATTTCCCATTGTATGATTCCCCCATTAATAGTCGTACATTTTTGACTGGGTGCAGTGGCTCACACCTGTAATCTTAGCACTTTGGGAGGCTGAGATGGGCGGATCACTTGAGGGCAGCAGTTTGAAACCAGCCTGGCCAACGTGGTGAAACCCCATCTCTACTAAAAATACAAAAACATTAGCCGGCCGTGAAGTGGGCACCTGTAATCCCAGCTACTTGGGAGGCTGAGGCAGGAGAATAGCTTGAACCTAGGAGGCGGAGGTTGCAGTGAGCCAAGATCACGCCACTGCACTCCAGTCTGGGCAACAGAGCAAGACTGTGTCTCAAAAAAAAAAAAGAATCAAATCATACGTTTTTTTGATGCATAACTGAACCTGAACCTGAAGGATTATAAAAAGAATCTTACAATCATATAGAAGAAAAAAATCAATGGGAAAATAAGTCAAGCTGGTCTGAGACTTGTAAACTACAAGTAGATACTAGAAGAGAAGAGAAGAGTTTTTACCAAATTCAATTTTTTTAGGTGCTGTAATAAATTTATTCAGAAGGTTTTTCAAAAATTTCCTTTTTTACAGTAAGAGCCTTCAACAAGAATATTGAAACTTCAATAAGAATAACTTACCTCAACAATATGTTAGTTCATTTCACATGTATTACACATCTAACATGGTATGAGACACAATAAATACAAAAATTAATAACATTAGTGTTCTCAAGTGATATACAACCAATCCGTTTCTTGACATCTATAAGCAAAGAGGCCAAGTAAGGCAAAAGATCTCAGTTCAACAAGTTCCTCATTGAAGGGCAATAGAAGGGGTCAATAGGGTAGAAAAGGAGAAATGAGATAACATTAGGTCATTTGTAGGGGAAGAGCATGAGAATGATGCCCATCAAATAAGTAAGTTTTAATATAAATTGAAAGCTAATACACACTATGTAGACACTGGATTCTGAAAAGAAGGCAGTCGGCAGGATAGGATATCAGAAGCACATATGAAGGACACATAAATAAAGCTATTAGGTAAAACAAAAGTATATTCATTGAGTTTATAGCTTTGCTTGCATGTCTTAGTTTATGTTCCCCAAAACAAAGCTCATAGAACAAAGTTTTCCAGCTGAGTGCATATTGTTAATCCTGATCATAGGAGCACCAAAATGTGCTTCTGTTAATCCAGCAAATTCCATACATATAACTCCTTGCCTCTGTTTGGTAGCAGACATTGTATTTCCTCATATTTAAAAATGTGACATCTGGTCAGCTAGGCTGTCATGCACATCTACACCCACAGATATGTATTTTGGATATATGATAATTTAGGATTTATAGTCCTTAATGAAGTTTCCTGAATAAACAAATTTAAGGTTTTATACCATCAGTCAAAATTAATAACGTATAAATGGAGATACTGTGATAAGAAAATATTGGTGGTCATTGAATCTGACTAAACATTGTCTTCTTCTGATCTATAAGTCAGACAATAAAATTTTTTATCATATTATGGAGAACTTCTGTAATTGAGTTAACTACAGGATGCTAAAAAATAAAGGGGCCCTAGGAGGTTCCAAGATGGCCGAATAGGAACACCTCCAGTCTGCAGCTCCCAGCGTGAGTGACGCAGAAGACAGGTGATTTCTGCATTTCCAACTGAGGTACTAGGTTCATTTCACTGGGGCTTGTCAGACAGTGGGTACAGCCCACGGACCAGGGCAGGGCATTGCCTTACCCGGGAAGTGCAAGGAGTCAGGGAATTCCCTTTCCTAGCAAAGGGAAGTCATGACACATGGTACCTGGAAAATCGGGACACTCCCACCCTAATACTGTGCATCTCACTGGGGCATGTCAGACAGTGGGGGCAGGACAGTGGGTGCGGCCCACTGAACGAGAGCTGAAGCAGGGCAAGGCATCACCTCACCTGGGAAGCACAAGGGGTAAGGGAATTCCCTTCCCTAGCCAAGGGAAACTGTAACACACAACACCTGGAAAATCAGGTCACTCCCACCCTAATACAAGGGTCTTA